TTTATTTTTGTGTGTACCATCAAATCAGATCTGACTGGTACAGGAGGAAATTGTCCCTCCTTCTCCAGCAGAGCATCTGGTGGATTCGAACCATTCACCTCTGGGATTGCATCACAACTTCCCACCACTAGGCCACCAGAGCTCGCCAACATGTAGATTTCTTAATAAAGTGTTGGCTTCTCTCCCCATCTCATTCCTGTCTAGTCAGAGCCAACTCATAACTGGCCCTCCATTGGTTTTCCCTGGCTGTCAATTACACAAGAAGACACTCCTCATCTTTCTACCTTGGAGGCGGTAGTAGATTTGGACCAGCAGAGAGGGTTTGCAGAGCAGCTCTCTCTGAACTGTGCCATCACACTTCTCTAATGTTAGATTTTAGAAACACTTTATTTTTTTTTGTTATGAGTAGTTGTTGCTAGTTTTGTTTTTCTTATCCAGTAACTGCTGATTGATGGTTCTATAAATTTAATAAAAAAAAAAAAAAAAGAACATTCTGGGCACAGTTTAAAAAGGATCAACTTTTTTTTATTTATTTTTTACTTTTGTTTTTCTTGTGAGATGCTATCAAGTTGACTACAACTCATAGCGAAGCTATGAACAACAGGTCTGAGCCCTGCACTGTCCTGTGCCAATCTTGTTATCTCCAATGTGCTGGAGTTCTTTTTAGAGTCTGTTAGTCTGTCTTGTGGGGGTTGCCCTCTCTTTTTCTGACCCTCCATCTATCCAAGCATAATGCCTTTTTTCCAAGGACAGCTTTTCCTGACAACATGCCCAAAGTATGTGAGATGAATTTTCACTATCCTTGCCTCTGAGAAGCACTCTAGTTGTTTTTCCTCCAAGGTAGACTGGTTTATATTTTGGCAACCCTGTGGACAGTCAGTACTGTCTGGCAACACCACACCTTAAAGGCTTTGGGCTTAGATCAGGTGCATGTTAGTATCTTTAAATACTTTAATGACATCATTTCTCATCAGAACTTTATATAGATCCTTGACATCCTCTCCTTAAAAGATATATCTTTGGAGCAATTCCCCAACACATTGCACATTTTAATATTTGATTGCTGCTACCAATTGGCAGCAACAGTATGGATAGTGAAAAGATTGAGATAGTTAACAGTTTTAGTTTGCTTGGCTTCACAGTCAGCACTATTGGTACCAGCACCCAGAAAATCAGGAGACGATTTGCATTGGGAAAGTCAGCTGTGAGGGACCTCTCCAGAGTATGGAAGAACAACAATGTCAGGCTGGAGACTAAGGTGCGCCCGATCTGGGCTATAGTCTTCACAATTACGTGCTATGCATCAGAGAGCTGGACAGTGACTAGGGATGATAGAAAGAGAATTGATGCCTTTGAGCTGTGGTGCTGAAGAAGAGTGTTGAATATACCATGGACTGCTAGGAGAACAAACAGGTTTGTCCTAGGGATTCAACTCTGATATACACCTTTTCCTCATCTTAAACCCCATGCAGTGTTCCTTTGCCCTGCTTGGACTACTACTTCTTAGTATATGGATAGGTTTTTTTTAAGCATGATAAAGTATTCTAAGATTTTTTTTTTCCTCCTGTGTTGTCTATGCTTTGGGAAAGGGTATACATCAAGTTGTGTGTGGTGCAGTGCACACAGTTATCTAAGTGCTTCTCTAGTTTACTTACAGTATTTGGAATGAATGTGATATTGCTCAACCTAAGTTTTCTACAAATCTTAAGTCAGGATGCTGGATTCAGCGTTGCTGAGGAAGATAAGGCTGGAGCTTGATTTGGTTAGAAGTCTTTTATGAAGTTTTACATGAAAGATAAGTTAGTGTTGAACCAGGGCTGTGGTAGTGATTGTTTTTGTGTACCATTGGGTCAGAACCAACTTGTAGTTGACCCTCCATCAGATTTTCCAAGGCAGTAAGTCACACAGGAGGATTTTACCCATCTTTCTCCAGCAGAGCAGTTGGATTTAAACCACATGTCTTTGGCTTGGCAGTGCAGGCCCTTATCACTAAGCCACCAGGGCTACGGACAAGGAATGAAATGTGGGCAAAGAACAGTGATTCAAAAAGTTCTAGTAGCTGTGGAGATTACAGAAATAAGAAAGAAAGATAAGACTAAACTTTTTTTTTGTGGAGAACTAAGACATTGGTACAGGAGATAATTTTTATTTTAGATTCATTAAATTGGAAGTATTACTTAGACATTAATGAACATTTAAATCTTGTTTGTGGTTAGGAAAAATAGTTGGTGTTTTTGCCCTTAGCCTAAAAGTTGTTGGGATAGAGATTCCCACAGCTCCAATTGTGCCCCCTTTAAAAAAATGGTCTCTGTAGGGAGACAATAGTTTGTGGTCTACAGACTTAACTGATGAGAGCCTTTAAGAAGGACAGGAGTAAATGTCAGATAGTCAGAGAGAGAAAAGGAATGTAAGTAGTAAACTGAGTTTTGGGAACCATAAAAAGTGGGTTTTGTAGAGTCTGATCTCTTAAATTTATTGGCGTTATTTTTCTCTTTGTAAGTAGTATTTGTGGCATCTCGCAAACATCCAGTTTTCCATTAACTTTTCACTGAATAATTGTTGCATCCATTGATTATTTTTGTCTGCATGAATTATTTCATTAGGAGTTTGAAAATGGTGATTTTTTTTGAATTCTGTTATTTATTCTACTTCCATTACTTGGCACTGTTTTGTGAAGAGAAGCTTCCCCTCCTCAATTGGCACTGATTGATTTCTCTAAAGTGCTGTTCCTACTGAAAAAGCAGGGTAGAGTTTTAATATTTTCTGTTTAATTATTCATTTCAAACTAAGGTGTTGGTATAATAATTACTTCCAATGATAGACAATGAATATAAATGCCAGATCTGTAGTGAATGGTATAGTCACAAGTTACCGACCATAAAAAGTTGTTTTTATTTTTTCATTCACTCTCTTTAATAGTACATTTAAGGGTCAGCCATTAATAAATTTATCTACCTTGGTAACTTTTTATGTTTCTATTTATCTGAGCTGTGGGGCGATTCTCACTTGAGGGTACACAACAACAATGTGAAGTGTGTATATGTATATATATAACATATAGGGTACACATCTATGGAAACATCATATCCCACATCTCACATAACTGTCTACGCTTACAGGCTAAAGACCAGTCTTAGGGTGACATCTCAGTCAAGCGGCATAGGATTGCACTTTTTGCTCTTTTAGGGAGTATCTCTATGGAATCAAAATGACAACAGCACATTGAAATATTAATTAAGAACTTTGGAGGGGTGCAAGTAATTGAGTTTCTATTAAGGGAGAAGGAGCCAATCAGAGAAGGCAGGCAAAAATGGTTCGGTGCTCAAAGAATATAATGAGTGTAACTGAACTATACATGGAGAAACTGTTGAAATGTATGATTTGCTCCGTATCGTTTCAGTGACAAACCTAAAAAAAAGAATAATGTAGTTCATATAATGAAGAATAAAACTTTATATGTGTAACATTTAATACTATATTACTATTCATGGTATTAATGAAAATATTTAAGAGTTTCTTATTTTTACAGCATTTTCTTATTCTGAGGGATAACATAATTCCCCCCCCCCCATTCTTTAGTTAATATGTGAGTTAATGCTTTCAGCTAGTTTTTGAATTAAGTATAAAAACAGATAATAAAGAATTTTAGCTCCATGTTCAAAGTCACAAAAGAAAGATCTTTGTAAGGAGCAAATGCATTTGTTTTCTGTGCTTTAAACATTTTTGTTGTTGAATTATATAAGATATAGAAAGAAGATATATTTCATACTTGGTGTAAGTTCTTGGCTTGGGGAGTATGGGCAGGCGTGGAGGGGAGAGCATTTGTCTGTTGTGTTTATACACGCCTGCAGCCAACTTCTCTGATAAAGTCATTACTTTCCCTTCACCTGAGCACATGACTACATTTCTGTGGCCTAGTCTGGGCGGAATTTCCTCAGTCAGCTATTTTATATAGGATTGGAGAAATAATTTTTAATTTATAGAGCCCTTTCTCTGTGATATTTCAAAATCAGTTACAACAGTTTTTAGAAGGTATTTTATTTAAGCACATAACTTTTTATTATTGTTTTGTATTGTGATTTGAGTGAAAATTTAAACAGCTAATTGATGTTTCCAATCAACTATTTATATACATTTTGTTCTGTAAAAGAGATTTCAATACCCACACTGTAATCGTACTTTCTCCACATCCTCCCTATAATTCTGTTTTTTGGTTTTTGTTTTTTTAAATTCATTTCAGTGAACATCTACAGAGATTTTGGAATTCCATTCATTCATTGTTGCACTTTTCTCCCCGCCCACCGCACCCCCAGTTCACTCCTCTCCTTGAAAAGCAAAAGAAAAACTCCTTCATTGGTACACAATCCTTCCCGCACCCCCCAACCCCCCCACCTGTAGCTCTGCTGTCTTCCTGCTCTTTAACTTTGTACCGTCTGGGTTTTTTTAATAAGATTTTTTTTTCCTCTTTTGAACAGAAAGATGAAAACTACCGAAGCCTCCCACGGGATACTAGCAACTGGTCTAACCAATTTCAGAGAGACAATGCACGCTCTTCTCTGAGTGCCAGCCATCCAATGGTGGACAAGTGGCTGGAGAAGCAAGAGCAGGTAATGGAAGCAAATCTTTACACACAAGACCTTTGCACTGTATTCTGGTCAGCACTTCAATGTTGTTTACTGCCAATGATATAGTTGTTGTTAATGTCAGAACTGTCTTGGAATTGACCCTCCAGGATATTTTCAGAGACAGTAAATCACATGGGAGAAGATTTCCCTTTTTTCTCTCCTGAAGGTGCAAGTGGATTTGGACTCCTATGTTTGGGTTGGCAGCAGTTTTCAAGTGTTTTTACATAGTAGGCCAGTAGAGGTCCTAGAGTGATAATGATGTTGTGTACTGGTGAGTTGGAACCAACCCATAGTTGACCCTCTACTTTGTTTTCCGAAGCAGTAAATTACATGTGAAAAGATTGCCTTTCTTTCTCCACTAGCTGTTAGATTTGCAGCACCTGCCCTTGAAATGGCAGCAGTTTCAAAATCTTTCAATTGTTAGGCCTTATAAACTAGGCCACCAGGGCATCTGGAATGATGATGTTGTTAATGTGTGCTTAGAGTTGGAACCAACCCATACCTGACTCTCCAGTGGGTTTTCAGAGGTGGTAAATCTCATGGGGAGAGATTGCCCATCCTTCTGCAGAACAGCTAGTGGAATTGAACCTGTTGGGAGTGCAGCACAGCTTCTTACCACTAGGCCACCAGAGCTAGGTTAATTCTTTCTAACACACTTGAGTTGAGCACCAGACTGTGTGTTAGAGTCATCTAACATAAATTCAAAACCCATTTCTGTGGATGGCCTTTATCGAGATATCTTATGAGCAATTATGAATATTTGCTGTGGATGCTGGAGAGATTTTAATGTTAGTGGAACTTAGTCATTTCACGGAAAATAATAAAGGTAGTGAGTACATTTGCAGTGCTACCCATGGCCTTTTCCTGTCATGGACAACATCTCAAAGGATCTGAACAGGTAAGTGAGAATTTCTCTTATTCTTGACTTCATCTCCTGGGAGAAACATATGAGCTTGTGGTATTTCAGAGTTCATATTGTTTTGTTAAGTTCGAGGAAATACTTTTTCCGCAATATAAATGACCTAGTTAGAATTGATGAATTCAGCCTGCATTGTTACCACCTGAAATTTGTGAACTTAAAATTGTTCACCACTCAGTAGAAACAACTGCTTTCCAGTTTCAGGTGGAATGATTCTTTGTAAAATCGGTACATCAACGTTAGAGTAAAAAATTACCTGTGCTTTCATATGAAGAATTTGACTGCTAGAATTTGATGTATAAAATGCAAATCATTCAGTTGTTGCTTTCTTTAAAGGTCATTATAGTCACAGTGCTTTTAAAGAGCTTGGGATTCTGGTATATTTGTAGTTTTAACATTTTTATTATTTTTAAAAACCTATACTTTGTTATTGAATAAGCTCTTATAAATAGAATGTTAGGTGTCCACTGAGGTGGCACTGAGTATCAGCGGAAATCCAGCCTAGCAGTTCTCTTTTTGTTGTGAGTTTAGTCTTTTAAGTATTCCCTGTATGTCATTTGATTTCAGTGTATAATATCTCTTCTGTGGCTTCCTCAACCCCTCTTCCATTTTCTCATTGAAAATATAATGTGAAAGAATGTTTTATTGTTTATCTACTATAGTAATTTTAACAATTATCAATAATTCTGTTGCCTACATGTTAGAAAAGCTTTTTTTCACTTTAGTTTAGTGATATCAATGGAGAAAAATCCTAAGTATTTTATTTATTTCATCTCAGTCTTTATTTCATATTGTCAGCCTCTTATGGCTATGTATGGATGTTTATGGTCAGGTTATGTAAGGTTGTGTATGAGTTATATGCGCGTGTAAAACATCCACATGAATGGCAACACATCTGTCTTTTACCCCATCAATGATCTGGAAGGCAAGATTTTGATCATAAAGTCATGTGAATGGTGCATATGGTTGATGTACTTGATTGCTAGTGGAAAGGTTGGAAGTTTGAGTACACTCGGACACACATTAGAAAACATGCTTGGACTTTCTGCTTCTAAAAACCAGCCTTTTCAAACCCTTGAGAGCACATTTCTGCTGTTGACATGATTTAAGGCAGACATTAGGACAACTGTACTTACTTACGTGTAAATATTGTCTGACCAAAAGACCACTTCATGACAATATTCTGTTAAGGAAAGATCATTGCCTCAAAATTTTAATGCATTTTAAAATTGTTACTATTATTTGTTCTTGCTTGGAAATGCATATTTTATAGTTTATAAAGTTTAGTGTATGCCTGGTGTCAGAATGGCTAGATGTTTCAACTAGTGATTTAGTATCTATGAGATTTGGGTGTGTTACACAACTTGTTTAGATAAACCTTAGTTTATTCATCCATCAAATGGGAATAGTCATAAAATTTGTCACATGAGAAGCTACCTCAAGTAATGTAATTCCCATGAAGGATTTATGGTTATGTTTGCCTCCTAGAAACACTCAGTATGTCTTTATAGATTAATTAATCGGAACATCATTGATAAGGACAGAGAATCTAAAAGCAGATAAAATAATTATTAAAATTTTCTAAGTCATACAATAAGGAATCTGGAGATAAGGTTGAGAGCTTCATCTGCTTGATGTCGAGATTGAACATCCACTTTCTCCATCTTTTCTCTGGAACGCCTGTGGGACCTGGGTTTTTTCCTGAAGCATGACTTTCCTGCCGGAGCTCCATCCATCATGCCAGAAGGGGCGAGCACCCCCTTTTCCCTCTATATGAGCCTTTTTGAAAGCTAGTGAACTTCGCACAAGACCCCACGTGCTTCCCCAGCAGATGTTCTTTCTAGTCAGTTCTGACTCGTAGTGACCCTCTGTCTAGTTTCTGAGGCTATAAATTGCTTGGGAAGAGATTGCCCCTCTTTCTCTCATGGTGGATTTGAACGGCAGGAGAGTCTCAGTCATTAGCTTAGTAGAGCAACTCACTATGAATTGTATTAATGTCTATTGATGGGTGAAAAGGAGTAAAATCCGAGTTGGTTGAGACTGATTGAGCTTGTCCCCCTCGAGTCAAGGAGGAGAATTGGTCAGCCCCCATGAAACGCATAACTGATCATATCTTGGATCAAATCAAAGTTGTGTTAAAGAGCCCTGGTGGAGAAATTGTTGTAGTCTGCTAATTACATGATCAGCACTTCAGATTCCTAGAGGAAAGGGAGAAGGTCTCCTCTTGTAAAGACTTGGAGCTCATGAGGGTCACTATGAGCACGGACCTCCTCCACAGCAGTGATGGATTTATGGTTTTGGGCTTGCGTGTTTTGTTTGTTGTTTGTTTGGTTTGTTGTTGTTTTTTTGCCCCTAGCAAGGGTTTTTAATTGGTTTTAAAGCAAGGAAGGAAGTAGGTGAGGATGTTCCTCTTGGTATGAGTAACAATCAGTCGTGTGCTAAAAATGGCCATTTTTATTGTAGGATTAGGAGTGGATAAAATGGCATCCTGCGTTTCAAAACTGCACTTAATTATATTATAAAGGTATAACTTACTGCACTTGTATTCCTGTTTTTTAAGACAGTAATATAGTTCTGGGCTTTGGTTTATAAGACAATTGCTTTTTAAGCAAAAGTGGTTGCTTTGAATGTCTACACACTTTTTCTCCCCTTAAATAAGGAATCTTGTGTTTTTTTTTTCTTTTGAAGTTATTTGAAGTATTTTTACATGGTTAAACAGTTTTATTTTGCAAACAGTTTCTCTCATACTTTCTCTCTTATAGTCTATTAGTCTGTGTAGATACCATTAGCTGATTTCTCAGAAACACTTCTTTCTTAGTATACATTTTAAGAAATGATGATCCACTCACTAAATTTTATATTAATGAGACTGCCTTTACCTGGAACAGTAGTAGCCATTAGTGATTTCACATCAACAGGATACTTAATTAGACCCAAAACTACCTAACAGAGCAAGGGCAGCACAAGGAAACCCATTAAAATGATATTGTACAATACTTTTTAATTTTTTTTTTAAGTTGTTGAGAAATAAGCACTATGCTGTTGTTTGGGACAGAAGAGAAACAGTAGGTTATCTTGGAAATCCAGGCTAGCATTTTCCATATAATTGCCTTTTTATTCAGTTCAACATTCTCCTGACTTTGATGGGTGATGTCTCTTTTGTGACTCTTTTGGTTTTGCCATTAAAAATATATTGAAGAGGGTGGCATCGTATCAAGCAAAAGTGTGCTTCTGTGGTCTTAAAAACAAAACCACAAAACCAGCCCCCTGCCATTACTCTTTGGATTCAGCAGGGTAGAACTGATGCTGTTCTCCCTTCAGCTGTGCCAGCTGCTCTGAAGAGGTCAATAGAGTTCTAGATTTTATATGCCTCCAGTGGGCTTGTTTTTGCTCTATTTCCTCCTAGAGTGCTTGTCTCTCATTATCTTTGTTTTTGAAGGCAATTATGACCACATCAGCTTCACCAGTGGGAATAAACATTAGAGATGAAAAGGACAAAAGACTACTGTAGTGCTGAGCTAGCAGGTACCTTTAGACACGGAGGGTGCCTTCCTCTTTGTGTGGGACAGATCCATTAAAGGATAATACAACTTCTTTCCCTCTGTCAGAATATGGGTAAATTTCACTTTCTAACAAAAGCCAGGTGATGTTTTTTATGAGAACTCTGCAGCAGGGAGCCACCTGGGGTCAAGCCCGACATAATTTCTAGATACCGTGCCTTGCTTTTCTGTGGCTAATTCACCTTGTTCAGAGAGAATATCCTATAGTTGAATCCTGCATCAGATTCATCTCACAAGCTAGAGGGCTGTGTGTCTTTGAAAGAGCATCCTTTTCTTGTGTCAATCTTGTAAGTTCTTTTTTCCTGAGAGAGCTCAGAGGAAGCACAAAGGATTTGGAAATGAAGCAAGCTGTTGTTGAAAATGTATTACCTTGAAAAGCACTTCTGTACGCGTGATGTTTTAACTCCGAGGCCCAAGAAACAAAAATTGCAGCAAAATTCCAAGTTGTGATGTTTGACGATGTTTTAGAAAGTTTGAGTCTCTCTTTCACATTACTATTTCCC